CAAACTTATGCATGCATGGTTTCCGAAATGAGCCCCCTCCCCCCACTTTTAGAATTTGTATGTGAACCAGAACCCTTGTATAAGTAGTTGTTTGTATGTTAATTTTTAAATATTGGGACCACACGAATGCAGTCCTTCCAAAAATTTTGACGAGTTTACAGATGACGAATTTCAAGACCTATAACCTTTCCCAGTTCATTGGGTTGCGTTAAATAGCTCATTTATTGTATGATAGCATCGTGGGTCCATCATCAGTAGATACTCCTATGCCCCACCTACTGTACATTAAATAAACTAACAAACAATGTGTTATGAGCACAATACAAGGTACATGTACTTATGCTATTGTTAATATAAAGGTACATATTATCAGTACATTGGGGGGGGGGGTAGCAAGTGTATATTGCTGATTTTCCAACCACAGAATGGTGATTATATATTTGTAAAACTCTATTTTTAATTAAGTTTTAATTAATAGTATTAAGTTAACTTGTCTGCAGTAATACAAGGTACTTGACCATATGCTATTGTACATACCGTATAGCCGTTTAATTTTGAGGTTTGATTTTGTGGTTTAATTTTAATATAGCCGTTATTATTAATATACTGTATAAGTGGTTTTTTTGAGGAAATATGTTTCATCACAAAATCTACTAAAATTACTAAAATGCTGATTTTAATTTTATGAATTCTACCACGTGCTATGCAGTACCATATTAAATTGATTTTTGCAGATTTTATTTTCACAAATCAGGAAGGAATCTGTGAAATTTGCAACCCAACAATAAACCCACTTATACTATTGTCAGTATACATGTATCAGTACACATGTATATTGAATGAAAAGTAGCAAATTTATATTAATGATACCAAAACTCCAAAGTTAATTCCCTCCAATATTCCCCCAGTACATACTGTATATACTAGTATACACATGTACAGGAACATGGTTACAAATGACATGAAATAGTTACTAATTTTTCCAGAGGAAGTTCAAAGTGTATCAGATATCATCAGTATATAGCAGTCCCACACATTTCACTGGATTAATTATTCATTTGATGACTCTTCTTTGATGTGTTTTGTTATTTTGTGTGGTCAATTTATATCAATATTACTATTTACAATAAATCATGATTGTAGCTTTGATTTCAGAAATACATCCAAATTGATATTACATTTCCTGATACTCGTACATACCTGTACATACTGTGAATGTGTGTCCATTAATGTACTTATATTGCAGTTTGAGTAATCAACCTCAATTTTACATATTGATGTCCTTATACTCTGTAGAAAGTTTCAGCTGATTCTGACTTTAATTTTTCAAGTTACGGCTATTTTTTAAAATTGGCCAAAATTTGAAAAATACCCAAGGCTATATATAGCCCATGGTTTTTTCCGAAAAATGGCTCCGAAATCACTCTCAATTTTTATTACATTTTCTGATCCTTATTGATGTCCTTATGCTGTGTAGAAAGTTTGAGCTGATTCCGACTAAAACTTTTTGAGTTATGGCCAATTTTAAAAAATGAGCCAATGTCAGAAAAATAACATCATCAAAAAACCTCCTATTTTACATAATAATAA